GGCTGAGATCGGGAGGATCTCCGTTTGAGGCCTGCCTGAGCAAATAGCTCATGAGACCCCATTTTCCAAAATAATCAGAGCAAAATGAATTGGAGGTTTGGCTCAAGAGACAGAGTGCTTTCTTTGCAAGTGTGAAGCCTTGAGTTCAAACCTTAATCCCATCCCCACCCAAAAAAAGAGGCGTGATACAGAGCTGAGACTAGTGATGATGGGTGTCCAGACTGGCACTTGCAGGGTACAGCTGGGAGAAAGAGAGCACCTCCCTCTCAGATCCAGGGCAGGAAAGAGAGTGGCCTGGGCAAGGCCCTGGGGTCAGTAGCACTTGGGTTTGTGGGAGAGACCCTATGCCTGGTTTTCCAAACAGTCACGGGGAACACAAAAATGGGGAAGAGAAACAATTGTGAAATACCTTTCAGGTCATTTTCCCTAAAACTTAGCAGTTCTTCCAGATGAAAATAAAACACAAGACAGCCCCCAAGCAGTGCCTTCTTGCTTCCCTGCTTATGGGGTGTTCTGGTTTCTTCTGGAATGTGTTGTGTCTCCCTGGCCCTCTGGAGCAACGTTCAGGGTCTGGCCTGTCCACAGACCTCATTTTCTGGGCACAAGGAGCACATGGTGCCACGTGGAGTTCCCTGTGGGCCGTTCAAAGTCAACCGATGGGCTGGGGTTGGAGTAGAGATCAGTGGCAAAGTGCTCATATGCCCAGGGCCCTGGGTTCCACAAAACACAACACAACACAACCTAAACAAACAAAACCAAAACAGAACGTCAAAGTACAGTGAGGACAGAGCCCAAAGCTAGCGGTAGTCGTGCTGCTTGGGTGATATACCAGGCACAGTTTGTCTCCTTCAAGAGCTGCTGGAAACCTGTGCCCTGCATGGCCAGGGAAGGGCCTCCCCAGCCAGTAGGTTTCTCATAAAAAGACCCCAGATCTCGGCTCTGCTGGAGTTCCCAGAAACTCCTCCCTGGGGAGTTCTAAAGACTCTTTTAACCCATGGACTCCCCAGACTTGGGTTCTGTTGGCTTATTTTCCCCACAGGAGGGTTCCCCAGGGTCCCACTTCCTTCTTCCTTCAACTCTCCCAGGACTGCTTTGCTGTGAAATATAGGACACAATGGGGACAGGTACACACTTGTGCTTCAGGAAAACCTAGAAGGACACTGGGGTGGAGGGCTGGGGAGCTTACCTGGGGAGGGAACATCAGAGCAGTGCCTGAGGATCACAAGAGCCTGCTACCTGGGTAGGAGGGCCAAAAAGGGCAGAGGTCCAGGCTGGAGAACTGGCCGTGAGAGGGTTTGGAGCAGGAGTGAGTTTGCTGATCATCAGAAAGACTGGATGCTCTGATCAGAGAGGGGTGGCCAGGCAGGGACTCTGGTCAGGAGAGTGGCCCAAGTAGTAGCTCTGAAACGGGGCCAGCCCTCACCCACCCAGATGCTCCTTGGCTTTTGGGATTTGGAGGCTGGGGGCTGGAAGTTGTGCCCCACCCCTGGCTCTAGCCTGCTGGCAGGTCCTGGTCATGACCCCTCTTACTGTCGGTCATGAGGGTTGTCATGATGGGTCTGTGGTGCCTGAGGACCTACATCGTATGTGTGGGACTGAATGCCTGCTCTGCTGCCCAGTGGATCTGCAATGTTTCCCGGGCAACTGTCTCGTACAGCCTGTCTGCCTGGCACTCCTACACCCCGTAAATGCTGCTGTGCCTGGCTCCAGGAAGCCTTGCCTGCTTGGCACACACAGGCCAGCAGGTGTGGTGAGTGCAGCCTGCTTCCCGACTGTGTCAGAAGGCTGCTTGGGTGGAGGTTATGGCCCAGGCCTCACAGCTATCCTCATGCAGCCAGCAGGCACTGCTGGGCACCCTGCATGGATTCACGCTGTTCTGCCACACAGTGAGGATGGAGACAGCCAAGCACCCAGGCTTGCCCATTCACCTCAGGCTCCATTTGGAAACTGGAAGCCTGTGCTGCTTCCTGGGGCTGGTCACACTGGCCAGCCACCATCTTGGTCCATTTGCAGAGTAGCCCAATTGCAGACCCAAGTCCCAAGAAGTCAAGGGGTGAATGGAGAAGTCAAGTGGGACTTGGATCACCCCAGACAGCTCTGGGCTGGTGTCTGGCTGACCAGCCCCTCACCTGGAGTAGACCAATCAGGACCCAAGGGCAGCAGGGCTGGACTGAGAGCAACCTTGCCCTGAAGGAAGTGAGGAGCCTGCCACACCACTCTCAGACACTGGAGGGGAGGGGAGATGGTCCCTGACTTGAGGATCTGTGGACCCTCTTTGTTTCTGGATCTTGGTGTTGGGGGGCACAGTTTGTGCTTTTCCTTCAAAAAGGTATCAGCTTATGGTGGACAGAGCCAGAGAGGAAGGTGGTCTCCTAGCTGGGCCAGTTTGTGGGCACAGGGGTTTCTGACACCTCTGTACACCTGGGCATTTTCTGCTTCACCTCAGGATTCCTCCTCTGAGATGCTGAAGTACTCTCTCATAAACACGAATTTTGGCTCATAAAAAACTTGTTTCCAACAGTGCAAGTGTCAGTCCCAACCAGAAATTATTTTCCAGTAAAGCAAAACTCCTGGTCACTGCAGCAAATGGCAGAAAAAGTAAGCCTTTTCCTCAAGTTCAGTGCTTCCTTTTTATGGTTGTACTAGGGTTTGAACTTAAGGCCTACCTGCTTGCTAGTCAGGCACTCTACCACTTGAGCCACGACTCCAGCCCAGGTTTAACTCTTAAACCTGTTTGGCTGACAACTCGGGAACAGCTGGAACAATGTGGCTTTGTTGGACATGGCTGGAACTCCTATTTCTACCTTCTGTATGTCCTGCAGGCCCCAGGTGGCTGGGGCAATGGTGGGTACGAGGGGTGGGGCTATCCACACCTGCCTGGTGCCAAGCAGCCCTCCCCCAGCTCCACTCTCTATCTCTGGAAGCATCCTGGCTGCAGGCCACAGGCCTCCCACCTGGTGTCTTCCCCAGTAGCAATGGGGAAAGAGGGAGATTAATCATGAGTGGAGAACGAAACCACAATGCAGCCCCAGGAGGGTGACTTCCTCACATGTCCAGACAGCCCCAGGCCCAGAGGCCCATGTTCTGCCAGCTGGCACACCCTTCTCCCCTGGCAGCCAAGAGTAAAGGAGACTATTGGGTTGGCTACAGAGGATGGGAAGGTGTCTCCATCCTCTGTGTCCCAAGGTCTGTACCTCTCCAGCCTTGGGGTGCCTCCTGGAGAAGTCTAAAGAGCCCAGAGCCTTGGGGCTAAGCCCTGACCTGGTGTGGTTAGCTGGTCTGGCCACAAGAGTCTCTCCCATCCTGCTTCCATCTGCCCCTCTTGCACCAAGTGGCTAGGCACCAGTGTAAGGAAATCAGGGCAGCTGAGGTCTGTAGCGGAGGGGGCTGGGAGGGGCTGGGACTCTGAAGACCTTAGGAAAGCTCCATTGTCCAGGTTCCAGGGATGGGAATTGGGCCCTCCTGCCTGGAAAAGCCACTTCTCAGGGCAGCAACTGTACCAGACACAGGTGCCCCTCACGTGTTCCTGTTGGACTCTGTGTGTCTCTCCTCCAGGCCTTCCTCCTGCTTTGAGTGTCCTGCCAGGTGTCCTAGAGGGCCCCAAGGTCCCCTGCTAAAGCATGGGGACACTTCCAGGAAAGGTCCTGGAGCTCAGGGTAGCTTGGGACTCCATCAGGGAATCACGTACTGGCAGGCACTGCAGGGACCTGGGTTTCTCTTGCCTGGGCCAGTCCAGTCCTAGGTCCCCCTCCAGGGCTCTGAGACCACCCTGCCCTTGGCAGCTTCTCCATGGGCAGTGTATGGCTGTGACTTTACTGCTTAGGTGTGGAGTCTGGGCTCTAGCATAGGTTGGCAGCTCCATCTCATTCTGATGGTGTCTCCAGTGTCCAGAACAGTGCCTGGTACAGGCAGGCATTCAGGGACACTTGAGAAATTAGCTTGCTTACCTCCCTGAGGTTGCAGGGGAGTAAGGACAACCTCAGTCCGGGCTCTATCCCTAGATCCCAGACAGTACACACAACCTTCATGCCAGGGCCACTTGGACGGTGGTGGAGCACACAGGGATCTGGCTCAGGGACTACAGGGAGCAGGATTCTGACTGGAAGAGGGCCTGGGAAAAGGGGCCACTATGGGGAGGCAGGAAAGTGCCATGGGAGTTCTGTAGGAGGTGTGTGTGTGGGGGCTTGGGAGAGCAGAAACCACCAAATGCCGGGAACCGCTGTCTGACAGTGGTCCAGGTTAAAGAGCTGCCCGCCACCTGGCCCCTGCAGACCCCAGCCTGGGCCGGCAGGGCTCACCCCAGCACTACTGCAGGGAAGTGGGGGGCTGGGGTTCACAAGGTTCTGGCTGCGGATGCACCAAGGTGTCCGGGCGTCTGCTGCCGCTAAGTGGTGGACTTTGGGACTGCTCGGCGGGAGCCAGGCCAGGCAGGAAGCAGGGGACTAACTGTGCGGCGACCTGAGCTTGCAGGCTTTTGCTGCCTGCAGGTTAGTGTTTTCCTTCGCTCCGAGCAGAATCCCTCCGTCGGTAGAAGTGGACCTCAGGGCCTTGTTTACTTAAGGAACCCTCCTGGGAAAGGGGTCGGAGTTGGAAACCGAGGCAGGAGCTGTCCAGTTCAGCTGGGAGGTGGCAGGGCTAGGGCGAGCCTGGCAGCTGGCCCTGGGAACCTAGGACGACACCGCCTGGGGCTCCCAGGACGAGGTGGGAAGGGTGCAATAGGGCCCCTGGCCTTCTCGCATGGGGGAAAGGGGGTGCTCCCCAGTTTGGAAGGCGGTTCCCCTCCCCAGCCCCAGCTGTCCTGGATGAGGAAGGCACCCCCCCCCCAGTTTCCCCAAAGCCTAGGGCCAGGACACCTTTTAGGCTTCCAAGCGTTGCAAAGGTGACATGGCCTGGTCCCCTCAGGCCGAGAAGTCGGGCCCCAGCGGAAGCCCGGGGTTCAGCGCCCCGGCGGGGGTGCGGGGCGGGCCCGCGTCTCACTTCCGCCGGACGCGCTCGCGCGCATGGAGGCTTCGCGGAAGCCGCGGGGGAGGCTGAGCCGTCGGAGGCCGCCCTCCGGGGACCGGTGAGGCCGGGACGGGCTGGGGACTGCGTCCCGGGACGAGTGGGCGGCTCCTGGCCACCGCGTGCTTCCCGCAGCCGCTCGCGCTCGGCCTTTCCATCCCCCGCCCTGCTGTCCCCCCATTCCTCGGTGATTTCCCCTCGCCCTGCGCGCCCCACCCCCTAGAGTCACCCCCACCTCCCCTGTGGATCCCCCGGACCCTGCCCAGTGGCCCCTCCCCGCGCGCCCCAGGCCCCACCCCCTCATAGTCACCCCCACCTCCCCTGTGGATCCCTCCTGACCCTGCCCAGTGGCCCCTCCCCCGCTGACCCCTCCCCCTCGCGCCCCAGGCCCCACCCCGTAGAGTCACCCCCACCTCCCCTGTGGATCCCCCGGGACCCTGCCCAGTGGCCCCAGGCCCTATCCCCCCTTACAGTCACCTCCCCCCACCTCCACCGTGAATCCCCTCGGACCCCGCTGAAAGGCCCCTCCTCCGCTGACCCCTGCCCCTTGCCGCCCCAGTCTCCCCAGGCCCCCCAGCGCCCGCCCCTGGTTTCTCCTGGGGGACGGCGAGAGCGAGCCGTGGGCCGCGCTGCTGCGCACCGTGAGTGCGGATTTGACCCTGGACGGCGGGGCTCTGCCGCCTCTGCCCGTCTTTCCTGGCCAGGTGTGTCCGTGGGACTGATGGGTGGCCTGGGACGGGGTGCCCAGGTCCGCGGGGAGGCCGGGGCGCCTCTGGGCACGGCCTGATGCCTGCCTGTTTTGCAGGAATCACAACCTGGCCCAGAGCGCGCCGCGCCCCCTGAGGTCTTCACCGTTGGATCCAAGACCTTCTCCTGGACGCCCTTTCCGCCAGCCCCTCAGGGCGCAGGCAGCTTCTACCCCCTGCCCTGCGGGGCCGGAAGGCCTCTGGAGTCACCCACCCGGTCCCCAAAAGGATCCCCAGCTCCCAATTGCTCCAGGACCCCCAGTACCCAGAAGCAGCTGTCCGAGCAGGGGCCACCAGCGCTGCAGAGCTGCCCTATGTGCCAGAAGAAGTTCGCCCCTGAGTGAGTGTCCCGCCCTTGGCCCCAGGCTCAGGGACCCCAAGCTCTGTTTAGGAGACTACGGGGGTGCCAGGATGCAGCTCAGGCCTTTAAAGCTGTATTTCAGAGACGGGTTACAGTGGTGCACCTCTGTAATCTAGCACTCTGGAGGCGGAAACAAGAGGGAGTTCAAGGCGTGCCTGGGCTGCATAGCAGGTTCCAAGTCATATTTCACATGCAGAAAGTGGGCATGACCACGTGACGGAGCAGTTGTCGCCATGTGGAGGCTCCTGTTGCAGGTTTAGGGTCCACTTGATTTCCACCCCTCTGCTTCCTGTGCATAGAAGGGAGGAGCCCTCACCCTGTCTGCCTGCCTTCCAGTAACTGGGCGTGCAGCATCCCCAGCCCAGAGCTGGACTCCAGGGCCACTTGGGGTCATTGTAGTCTCCAGCATCGCCACATATATACCTTCCTGGGGTCAATGGGGTTTTCAGAATAAAGTCTCCAGTTTTTTTTGGGGGGGGAGTACTGGAGGTTGAACTCAGGCCCCATGCTTGTTAGGCAAATGCTCTACCATTTGAGTCCCTCCACCAGCTATTTTTGTGCTGATTATTTTTGAGATAGGGTCTCATTTATGGTTTGGCCAGCCTGGACTGCAGTCCTCCTGTTTATGCCTCCCTGAGTGGTTGGGGATGACAGGTGTGGGCCACCACACCTAGCTATTGGTAGAGGCAGAGTTTCTCAAACTTGTCCTAGCTGGCCTTGATCTTCCCAATCTCAGCCTCCTAAGTAGCTAGGATCACAGGCTTGAGACACCACACCAGGCTAGGAAGTCGTTTTTGACTCAAGTTGTGTGTATATATATGTATATATATTTTTATAAAACTTTTTTTCAGCAGTACTTTCTCTCTTTTTTTTTTTTTTTGCCATATACTAGATTCTTACTTATTTTTTTACCAATAAAAAATAACACTCTGAGCTGGGTGCCAGTGGCTCCTGACACACACACACACACACACACACACACACATGGGTTTTAAAATTATGAACATCTGGGGTTTGTGCTCAGCAAATGTTCCTAATTTTAAAGCCCATGTGTGTGTGTAAGGGGGATGAAACACAGTTTTGCTAAGAAGGTTTTTTTTTGTGGTACTGGGGCTTGAACTCAGGGCCTACACCTTGAGCCACTCCATCAGCCCTTTTTTATGTTTTTTTTCAAGATAGGGTCTAGCAAACTACTTGCCCAGGTTGGCTTTGAACAGTGATCCTCCTGATCTCTGCCTCCTGAATAGCTGGGATTACAGGTATGAGCCACCCGCCCTAGGCTTGCTAAGAAATACTTAGTACATGGGCCTCGTGTTCTGCTGGGCCAGCTAGTTACCTGAGGCCTTGACCTTCCTGTTCAGCCTTCACAAAGGAGTACCCACAGCTGAGGTCATGTGTTGGCGGGGGGTGTTCAGGACAGAGTGAACAAACTTGGTCAGTTCCTAATGGGATGGTTAAGGACAGCAGGCTTCAGGTGCCATGTGGCTGGGAGACCATGTGTCCCCATGTCCCCGTGTCTCAGGTGTAGGAGCTGAAGCACCCTGGAAAGTGGGTGGATCTCAGTGTTATTTGCTAAAGACACCAGGGCTCAAGTGGTAGAATGCCTATCTGGCAAGCCTGAGTTCAAGCCCCAGTACTGCCAAAAACAAAAAAAATTCTTAAAGACAACACCAAACAAAACCAAAACACAGAGCCGTCAAACCATACAGATGAAACTCCCACCCAGAGACAGGGCCCTCCAGAATGTGATGCTTTATCAGAACCAGCCTTTTATGGGTCAGACTCCCAAATCCCATCCCTTCAGCCTCTCCCATCTCTCCTTGTACCCAGCCAGCTCAGGGAAGGGTGATCTCAAGGGTGGGCTGGCTTGGGTCAGGTGATGGCTGTACCTAGGTGGGTCCCGTGTTCATGGTGAGGCTCCAGCTGAAACAAGTGGGACTGGGGTGGGGGTGTGGTGTAGTGTCCCCAGTCGGGATGAGCTGTCATTCCAGTGATGACAGGGTTGGCGTCTCATGGCACACAACTTTCTTGTACTGATTGCCCTAAACTGCAAATACTGACTCGTTTACCAACAATGATGAAGCAGGGAATGCCTTTTTTTTTTTTTTTGGCAGCACGGGAGTTTGAACTCAGGGCCTCACACTTGCTAGGCAAGCACCACTGAGCCACTCCACCAACCTGCAAATGCTTTTTAAACCAGCAATGCCTCCTGATTCTAACCAGTGGAGAGAAACCCAGGGACAGAAGCTGTGGTTGGGAGCCCTGGAGAGAAACTTCTCTTCTGGAAGCCCCTAAATCCTGATGCTGTTGGGGAGCCTGGCCCCTCCTCCTCTTGTGAGGGACTTTAGTCTTATCGTATTTGGATTTCTAGATGGTGTAAAAAAAGATTTCTGAGCCGGCATTGGTGGCTCATGCCTGTAATCCTAGCTACTCAGGCAGACATCAGGAGGATTGCGGTTTGAAGCCAGCCTGGGCAAATAGTTCTCAAGTCCCTATCTTGAAAAACCCTTCACAAGAAGAGGGCCGGTGGAGCGGCTCAAGGAGTAGGCCCGAGTTCAAACCCAGTAGAAGCCAGTGATGTTGAGGAAGAAAGCATCTCTGTTTTCAGGTCTCTGCATGGTCTCTTGAGCCTTGGCAGATGCCTTGGGATTTCCAAAGCAGGTTTAGGTCTGGAAAGCTTCTACTGTGTTCTTCCATTTGACTGTGAAGGAGAGATGGTCCAGAACTCACCCCTGAGGCTGCGGCCATGACATCAGGCTGGCTGGGGAGAGGACATGTCCCATGTCCTCAAGGGGACTCACCTCCGTGTGCAGGATGCTCGGGTCCAGACATCAGGACATGAGGCACAACAGGTGGGAGGTGACCTACACCTGTGGTAAGGAGTGGTCTGTGGGAGACCTGCTACCCACCTGAGCCTCTGGCAAAGATGAGCCAGGAGAGAGCCTGCGGGGAGAGGGCCCCACTGTTTTGTCCATTTCTTAACATCATCTGGGTCACCTAGAGCACTGTGTATTCCTAGATGTGACAGGAGTTAAGGACGGGGTTTGACAAGCATGTGTAGAATGTTCTTTGTTCTCTTAAGACCTCCTTGCTGCTGGACTCAGATAGTTTACATAAGGTCATCCCTTGCCAACCTTGGGGAATGGGGCCCATGACCCCCCAGGATCCAAAAACCACAGATGCTCAAGTCTCTTATAAAACAGCTCATTTGCATAGAACCTCTGCACAAGCTCCTAGATAACTTGTAACATCTGACAGAATGGAGGTGCTGTGTAAACAGTTGTTACACTGTATTGTCTAGGGATTAAGAAAAATTCTTCATGTTCAGTACAGACCTTTTTTTTTTTTTTGCCTGTAGCTCTAACACCGAGCTACATTCTAGTCTTTAAAAATTCTTTTTATCCATGGCTGTCTGGATCTGCAGGTATAGAACCTGTAGACACGGAGGGTCCACTGTATTTTCTGCTGTTGGTGAGTCTTGTAGATGAACTGGGTCATGGGTCAAGATGCAGAAACCCAGACCCTCACGACTCCTTGTTCACACAAGGCCTGGGGTTGGTGGTGATTTTCTTCTTTTTTCTTGAGATGGGATCTTGCTATGTGGCCCAGGCTGGTCTTGAACTCCTTGGCTTAAAATCATCCTTCTGCCTTGTCCTCCAGAGCACCCGGAGGCTGTGGCCTGGCTGGTGGTTGTGATTTTAATAGCTCCCCTCTATGGCCCTGTTCACACTTAGAAGAAGCTGGAGGGTCTGGGGCTGAACTCCTGTGGCTCTGCAGCCATGCCAGCCTGTCCACACCTGGGGCCTGGCAGTGTCTAGAGGCAGCAGGGTTGAAACACCAAGCCAACACAGAACTCTTTCATTGTGGGGTGGAGGGGGAGGCACGGAATACCTCCATATGAGAGATCCTACCTGGAGACCCCTGGACAGGATGACCCAGGTCCAGTTCACAAAGAACCTTCTGGCAGCTTTGGTCTCAGCATGCAGAGGGAGGGGCTGGTTCCAAGATGGGCTAAGGTCCTCAGAGACCTCAGGATGCACGGACCGGGGTCTGCAAATGAGAGAGCCACTGGCAGTCACCAGGACCTGGGAGCAGTGTGGAGTTGGCTGTAGGCTTAGCTCAGGTGACGGCATGGCCAGGGCTTCTCAGCCTCTGGGTTAGCTGCACCTGTGGCAAAAAGGAAGCCAGTCTTTCTGGTGTCAGTGCTGTGACTCTGAGGCTCAGGGAGGCACCTTTCCATTCTGACCATCAGCGCTGGAGGCTCAGCCAGGATGCCGGTGGACAGGTCATGCCCTGGGAGGTCTATGAGGGCAGGGAGCAGGCCTCTGGGTGTCCAGCAGGGTGTCCAGAGGGTCCTCAGGACTCCTGGGGTTTCCACCCAGCATCTGAGTGGGCCTGAGCTGGCCTCTGCAGGGAGAGACAGAGGGTCCTGTGCTAAGAGCTTCAGGGTGCCGGGGGCCATGCTCTGTGGGACCCCCACAGGTGGAGGTCTAGGAAAGGGCTGTGGTGGTTGGGTGGAGAGGGTACCGGAGGCAGACTGAGGAGAGGACTAGCTTACAGCCCAGTGCACTTGGCCGTCTGGGCACATCCCTCACCAGTGGTGTACAGGGATGGTCACTCCAACAGGTCACTGGCCACATGCCTCAGCAAGACCCGGACCCAGGTCGGGGCTGAACACACTGATCACCCACTGACATCCTGGCAGCTCTACTGACCACCCCAGCCTGGCCTCCCCCCTGGGAATCACAGCCGGGAGCCAACTGTTCTGGTCTCAGGCATGCTGTGCCCAATGGGAAGGGTCATTTGCCTCTTCCCTCCTTGGGCTGCTCATGGGGTCAGAGGAGGTCAAGGACAGAAAACACATGCCTGTGCAGAAGCTAACCATGTTCTCAGGCCTCTGGTGGGTTGACCCTCCCTCCCCCCGCCACTGACCCAGTGCTCTCTGGAATTGCAGGATGGCACAAATCCTGCTGACCAAATCCTGCGTGGTGGGACTTGGTCCTTCCACATCAAGGAAACAAACTTCGGATTTCAGGACCACCTCTGGCCACCTCTGGCCTTGAGGATGGCACCGCCTTTCGAGGGACTCCTCCCTTCACACCAGGGGGCTGGTAGAAATCTGAGAGGAAGGACTGCCCTGGCCTCTGACTGACGAAAGCACCTGATGGGCTGTCCAGCCCATGCGCCTGAGCTCCTGCTACTGTCAGGCCCGAGGTGCTTTCAGGGCCATCCTGGATGTGCAGGCTTGTCAGGCTGCCCCGTCTCTGCTGCTGTCCTCTGTCTTCAGGTGGACTTTGGGGGCTAGCTTGCAGCACCTGTCCAGGATGAGCACACTGTCAGGCTGGCCTGGTGGCCATCCAGGCGGTAGGGTGCGCCAGGTGGGGCTCTTCAGGCACCGTTCAAGGAAGGAACACTGTCTGGGGGCCTGAGAACCTCTGACCTGAAGAAGGAGTCTAGGCAGCTGGGCTTTCCCAAGGGCCCCTCTGCCCTTTCCCTTGTGCTGACCAGCCAGCTTCTATAGCAGCCCCCTGGTGGGGGAAGAGTGTGGAGGTACAAGGGTGCACTGGAAGACAGTGTCTTTCCTGTGGCCTGCACTTGGTGGAGGTGGCTGTGTGACCATGTCTCTTCTTCCTCACAGGCTGTCCCAGCTGGACGTGGATAGTCACCTTGCTCAGTGCTTGGCAGAAGGCACAGAAGATGTGATGTGGTGAGCCGTGTGTTGTCCAGAGCAGTGCTATTGAAGTGAGCCCTGTGGACCGGGGGGGCCTGCCTGGCCTTGCTGCCTCTGCACACGTCCCCTCTGCTTCCATACACGTGCACTGTCTGTGAAGGTGGCAGCTGCTTGCTATATCTCCATGTGGAGCCCCAAATGTGGGTTCCTCTTGGTTGTGGACGCAGGTGTTAGTGCAAAGCCTGCTGCCTCAGGCAAGGGACTGCGCCCCATCACACCAAGAACCATGCACCTACCCGTTGGTTGTCTGCACCCGGGCAGGCTGGCTAGGCCGAGCATTTTGCCGACTGCAAGGCCTGGCATGATGGGTTGTCATCTTCCACAGTCCTGTGTAATTCTCCCAATGCGCCTACACCCCCACACTGCTGCCAATAATTACCAAAGGTGGAGAGCTTGTCGTTGGGTCGGCGGAATGTCAGTGTCCCCCAAGTTCCTGTCCTCACCCTCCATTGAGATGGTGTAGGAGATGGGGCCCTCAGGAGGTGACAGGCCGGGTGAAGGACTGAGGCCCTCGTCAGAGGGACATCCATGAACACTGGAGCCCTGTCCACCAACTGATCACACAGAAAGAAGATTGCTGTCCCTAACCTGGACACAGGCCTCACTAGAACCCTTCCATGTTGGCTCCTGGTTTCCAGGACTGTGCGGTGAAAGTGTCATCTTAGGGCTGGGGTATAGCTTGGTGGCAGAGCACTTGCCCAGCCTGTAGTGTGGGTTTGCCTCCACACTGGGGTTGGTGGGGCGGTGTCCTCTGAGCCCCCAGGCCATGGAATGTTATGTTGTGGCAGCCATGGCTGAGGCAGTGTTGGGAACTCTGTGACCTCATCACCAAGGTGCTTGCAAGTGGCTTCTCAATTAGGGAATTTTAGAGGCAGAACCTGGGCCTACCTGGTCAGCTACGTTTTGCTCTGGTTGATTGGTGAGTAAGAAATGGGGCAAAACAGTGAATTAAGTTTCTCTTGCCGTGCTGTTCAGCCCAGATTCTGAAGAGCTGGACTCTGGTACACGCTCGGGCCTGACAGTCTTGTCTGTGGCAACGAGTGTGCTGGCCTGGCACAGTGGGGCTGGCATGATTTGAAAACCCAAAATAACATCCAGAAATCTGCATTTTCCTTTCAAAAATGGCTTCAAATAAGCCACGGAAACACATGGAGGGGTTGGAGTGTGGTTTAGTGGTACGGTGCTTGTCTAGTACATGGGAGGCCCTGAGTGTGAACTGTGAAGGAAGCTTAGATGTGTGTAACTAGGAGGAAGAAGCAATCTAAAAAGGCTGCGCTGAGATTCTTTAGCGGCAGAGCTAGCAGGATGTGTGTACAGTCAGATGAGGGATTTATCAGGGGAACTGGCACGCGTGACCTAGGAGGATTGGCTCTCATAACAGACCAGGCCGTCTGCAGGCTGGAGACGTGGGTGTGGGTGGCACGGCTCAGTCCAAGTCCAAAGGCCTCAGAACCAGGGAAGCCGACAGCCGATGTGTGCCTGAAGTCGAAGACCTAAGGGACTCGGGAGAGGCTGCTGCTCGGGTCCTGCAGTCCCAAGGCCGAGATAAAGCTCTGATGTCCATGGTGGGAGAGGTGGGCACCTCAGCCCAGGAGAAAAACACCTGCCTTGTCTTTTTGTTCCCCATGGGCCCCTCCCTCATGGACTGGAGAGTTCCCACACTGAGGTCAGGCCTTCACACCTGGTCCAGTCAGACTCACCAGCTCTGGAAATACCCTCACAGACATGCTAAAACAATGCTTTAGCAGATGTCGGGGGTTCCTGAATCCAGGCAGGCTGATGTCCAAAGCTGCCACTGCTTTCATACTGTGATTCCAACAATCCTCACATTCTGGAAAAGGTACAACTATGGAGACAGCACAAAGATCAGTAGTTTGGGAGTGGCCCGAATGGTAGAGCACCTGCGTAAAAAGCATGAGGCCCTGAGTTCAGACCCCAGTACCTCGAAAAACAAACAAACCAGGATCAGTATTGAGGATGAGGGAGAGAGGGAGGAGTGCAGCCCAGAGAAGGTTTAGGGCTGTGAGTGGCCTCTATAAGATTGGCTGGTGGACTTGTGCCATGCGTGTGTCCAAACCCACTGGATGGGAGGGAAGGGTGTGCCAGGAGCTCCAGCCATGACCACATGCACGACAACGGGGCCGGGTGCGGGGGGAGGAGAAGGACATGGGTGTTGGGTGTGATGGGGTGTAGGGCTTTGGGCCTCCTGCACAGTGCAGAAGAAACACAGTCTTTACGAAAAGGGCTTCATGCCGGGTGCCCGTGGCTCACACCTGGTAAATCCTAGCTACGTGGGAGGCTGAGATCAGGAGGGTCGTGCTTTGAGGTCAGCCCAGGTAAATAGTTTGCAAGACCCCATCTCCAAAATAACCAGAGCAAAATGACTCAAGCAGTAGAACACCTGCTTTGCAAGTGCAAAGCATCGAGTTCAAACCCCGGTCCCACCAAAAAAAAAAAAAGGAAAAGGGCTTTGAACCTCTTGCTTTCCAGAAACACGCACTTTTTAACGAAATTAGGACCAGTGAGCATTTCCATCAAAGTCTTTAATAGATGTGCAAGAATATGAACGACCTTGGCCATGGAGGGTGAGAGCATCGTCCACAGGAGGAAGCCGCCGGCAGCAGGCTCCGCTAGTTCATTGTACAAACTGCTTGGTCACAGTCACTGCTTTATAATCACGAGTCACCAGTTTCCACGAACTGTTTTCAAGGGACTCAAGCTACCTTGCCCGCAGTCGTTTACACACGTCAGGATTTCTTTCCAAGTCACGCTTCAATACATCCTTTTTTAAATTTATGAAACAAATTACTATATATAAAAATCTCCCCTTCTGATGGGCACAATGTTATTCACACATTTGTACACGAGCAGCCAAACTGATAAATCAGCGAGCGACTTGGCAACGCGGCAGTATTAAACCAATGCCTCTAGTTCTACCAACCAGAGCCCCCCGTGCTGAGTGGGCAAAGCAGTTCTCACTGCACTCGGCAGCGAGCCCAGTGGGGGTTCCTGGGAAGTGGTTTGCTCTTGGACCCTGGTGAACACACTGGGGTCTCTGTTCCAGCACCTCTGCGCATGGGCGGATGTGACTGCACTGCCAGGGCTCTGGCTGCCTGGACATCGCCACGCTGGGCTGGACGCCTTGCGAGACACGGAAGTCGGTTCCCAGGCTCCTTTTTGAGTTTTCACTGGCTGACATTGGGAGTGCTGGTTGAAATGTGTTCACATTCGATGGAAGTGACGGGGCCACCCAGAAGTCAAGCTGGGTATGGGGCGCCAGAAGCCTAGGCTTCCACAGTGGCCTCAGGAACACCGGGCACTTGGCATTGTCCCAGCACCTTGGACTTGGTGTGAGTCTGCACTGTGTTCAGTGCCAGAGACAGCAGTGGCCCGAGAAACCTGAGTGTGTTGGGGTGAGGGCCACGGTGAAAACGGGGCAGGGTGGCGGCATCACCTTGTTTTGATTTCCTTGACCACAGTCTCCACCCTGGCCACCAGCCCCAGGGTATGAAGCAGCCACAGCCCAAGACTGGCTTCGACTCCACCCATCACGGAGGCTTGGGGTCTTCCACCCAGCGGAAGGCTGTGTGGCCATGTTCCACACACAGGCCAGGCCTGGCTCAGGCGAGCGAGGGGCCCTTGGTCACTGCAGTGTAGTCCCCTCTCCGACACACTGCCCTGGTGGCCGAGGTGCCTAGAAGATGGCTCCTGCCACACCTGACCTGCTAAGGACTTAGCTGATTTATTTCTAGAAAACCCTGGGCTGGCTTTCTGAGGTGGCCCTTAAGTGAGGAGGAGGAGGGCAGTGTCAGCAGTGACAGGAGTGGGAGTCCCATTGCTCGGGGTGCTGGGGGCAGGGGTTGGTCACTTTAAGGCTAGGGTCTATCACGCACGTATCTTTTAAATTTTTTTGAGTATTGTATGACTGATAAAAATATTCTCCAAAAATCTAATACATAACAAGACATCTTGGAGGCACTGGCTAGTGTTTTCAGAAATATATTTTGTGTGCAGTTAAATTTCAATTTTTTTCCCCTCTTTTTGGTCTGTTGGTGCTTTGGTGAGCAGTGTTTTAGAATCTCTGTCATCTGATTTTCCTCCTCGTAGTCTGGTGAGCTGGTGGGACCAGCTGCCCACCTGGCCAGGGCGTCATTTCAGCTTAGACTCTGGGGCTCTTCACACCTCAGTATGAAAAATACTTGTTAAATATTACCAGCGGGAACTTACCAGGATTTAGGAAATGTCCCGAATTGTTGCAGCGTGTCCCTGCAGGCGCTCAGACTCCCGTCCCCCACCTACACTCTGCTTGCTCAGAGAGCACCGCTTCTCCTCAGGGGTCCTCACCAGGGGACGTCAGACGGGTGCCACTCAGAAAACAGGCATGGGGGCAGATTCGACATCAGCGGAACACTTTATTCCTCAGGACATTACACGCTCACTTCCTGGAGAAGCATGTCAGCGCATCGAGTTCTGTTTCTGTGGAAAATGTGCACCTTCGAAATGGTGTGACAGTGTCCCCCTCGGGCAGGGCCACCGCAGCTGGACACGACACAGGCACAGGAAGCAACTCCTTCAGCACAAAGCTGGCCTCTGGGGCCCAGATGCGAGACTGCTCTCGGAAGGCCCCACCAGACACCTCCCTCCTGGGTCTCGGCGGCCAGCGTCCCTCCCTGGCTGCTCGGAGCCGTGTGCCCAGCCTGGCATGCAGATGCAGTGGTAGAGGAGAAAGTTGCAGGGTCGCTCACGGGCGTGTCCATGGCAGAGGCGCACGCCAGCTCACACGGACTCCTCGGCGGACAGCAGAAGCGGGTTGATGTACTCGAAGCCCTCGAACTCGGACTGGTCGATCCTCTTTATGACGTCCCTGGAAGCACAGAAGGGCGGACGGTGGCTCCCATGAGCTGCTCCCTCGGGCACTGAAGTGGCCATAGGAGACCCTCCTGCCCAACCCAGCAGACAAAAACTGCTGTTTTGATGTCCGTCAGTGCAGGACGGGGTGTCCTGACCCTCGAGGTGAC